ACAGACCTTCTACAGCTGTAACAAAGAACTAATGAAACGTTAGACCAAGAAACAAAATAAAGGTTTGACTCAAATAATCTGCAGTTAAATAAGGAAAAAACCAAAATTCTTACGTTTTATACCAAAACAACAAAGGATGTTAAGGACGAAACCGTGAAATTCCTAGGCATAACACTTTCTTCGACCTTAGCGTAGAAAGAACATGCCTAAGCAAATAAAAGTTGTCAACATCCTTGTATTGCCTGAGAGTGGTGTCAAGGGTTTTACCGATCAAAGAAACAAAAAGTGTGTATTTTGCATACTATCACAGTATAGAAACATATTTTTCTTACATGGGGTGCTTCAAACGATATTGAGGTCATCTTTAAAGCTCAAGAAAAAGCCGTTAGAATACTTGCAAAATTGGGTCCAAATGAGAGTTGTCAAACGATTTTCAAGGCACTAAAAATACTAACAATACCTTCATGTTTTATTCTATCATGTTTGAATTACATATGTACATACACAACTGACACACACGTCATGAATGTGACATATTGGTACTATTACATAGAGTTTCAATATCACAAAATAACTTCCATTATCAATCATTTAAACTGTACAATGTACTCTCACCAAAATTAAAAGGTTTGAACACTGAAAAGTCACAGTTTTGGAGAAAATATTTTTTTTCTTTAACCCCACTTTTAAGAAACGTCAAATCGATATCCGATTTTTAAAGGTTTCTATTAAAGGAAAGGTTCACCCTAAAAACTTTAAATTTGGTATAACACAACCTTAAAGGTTCCTTTATACCCTCAAAAAGTTTCATTTCTTAATTTTCAACAGTTTTGGAGAAAATAATTTTTTCTTTAACCCCACTTTTCAGAAACGTCAAATCGATATGCGATTTTTAAAAATTTATATTAAACGAAAGGTTCACCCCAAAAACTTTAAATTTGGTATAACACAACCTTAAAGGTTCCTTTATACCCTCAAAAAGTTTCATTTCTTAATTTTCAATAGTTTTGGAGAAAATACTTTTTTTCTTTAACCCCACTTTTAAGAAACGTCAAATCGATATGCGATTTCTAAAAATTTATATTAAACGAAAGGTTCGCCCCAAAAACTTTAAATTTGGTATAACACAACCTTAAAGGTTCCTTTATACCCTCAAAAAAGTTTAATTTCTTAAGTTTCAACAGTTTTCGAGAAAATAGTTTTTTTTGTTTAATCCCACTTTCAAGAAACGTCAAATCGATATGCGATTTTTAGAAATTTATATAAAATGAATTGTTCACTCTGGAAGCTTATAATTTGGTATAACTTAACCTTAAAGGTTCGTTTATAACCTCAAAAAGTTTCATTTCTTAATTTTCAACAGTTTTGGAGAAAATAATTTTTTTCTTTAACCCCACTTTTAAGAAACGTCAAATCGATATGATGGTTTTTAATAATTTATATTAAACGAAAGGTTCACCCTAAAAACTTTAAATTTGGTATAACACAACCTTAAAGGTTACTTTATACCCTCAAAAAGTTTCATTTCTTAATTTTCAACAATTTTGGAGAAAATAATTTTTTTCTTTAACCCCACTTTTAAGAAACGTCAAATCGATATGCGATTTTTAAAAATTTATATTAAACGAAAGGTTCACCCTAAAAACTTTAAATTTGGTATAACACAACTTTAAAGGTTCCTTTATACCCTCAAAAAGTTTCATTTCTTAATTTTGAACAGTTTTGGAGAAAATAATTTTTTTCTATAACCCCACTTTTAAGAAATGTCAAATCGATATGCGATTTTTAAAAACTTTTTAAAAACAAAAGGTTGAACCTTTATTTCCAACAGGTTATTAAGGATTATTTTGCAAATTTTAATCATTAAAATCGTTTGGTTTCTCGATTTTTGCAACAAAATACTTTTTTCTCTTTGTTAATGTTAAATTAATAATGAATTAAATAATAACATTCGTTCTTAGTCAGTAAATATATTTTTGGCAAATGCTATACTTGATGAATGATATTTTATACTTTTATTCCATGCACAGAGCTTTTTTCGGCTATCATTGTTACTAAGATTAGAATTTTCTGTAACTTGTTATAAATATGGTAGGTGCAGAACTTATCATCAACTTTTTGGTAAGGTAAACTTTAACAGATCCGTTTCTGGACTTACTGCAAAATTGTATCTGTATTGATCTGTCATCCTCTGATTTTCATCTCTAATAAGTTGCAGAAATTTTTAAATAGAACTTGGAAAGCGCAAAAAAGATAAAACTAAATCCAAGTTTTACTAAATCAATACTTGAAAATCATTCCAAATTAATCTCAACCTGAGTTGATCAAAATCTCATTCTAATTTAATTCAAAACCAACTCAACTGATTTCCTAAACACCAATCTAACACAAAACCCAGACTTCAAGATACCAAACCCAACCCAAGTAATAATATCAAAAATCATAGGTGTGTTGTTTATAGATGAGATTTGTATAGAATTAAATGAAATGTGTGTATTAGTCGTGTTACAAAGGATATTTTGTATATATTACAAGCAAAAAATTTACAAAAAAATGAATATTATAAATTTAGAGCATAGGAAATGACTTTTTGCACCCGCGTAATTTTTTTTACTACTGCCAAATTTGAATTGCGAGTACTCATCGTGTTCCATAGATCATTTAGAACATATTAGGAACAAAAAAAAATTAAGAAATTAAAATTGAGAATTTAGAGGTTAAGGAACCAACTATTTTTGATATTGCCAAAATTGAAATGTGTGTATTAGTCGTGTTCCAAAGGATATTTTACGTATTCTAGAAGCAAAAAATTTTCAAAAAACGAAAATTTCAAATTTAGTGCTAAGGATATGACTTTTTGCACCCGCGTAATTTTTTTTGCTACTGCCAAATTTGAATTGCGTGTACTCATCGTGTTCCTTAGATCATTTTGAACATTTTAAGAACAAAAAAAATTTTCAAAAAACGAAAATTTCAAATTTAGTGCTAAGGATATGACTTTTTGCACCCGCGTAATTTTTTTTGCTACTGCCAAATTTGAATTGCGTGTACTCATCGTGTTCCTTAGATCATTTTGAACATTTTAAGAACAAAAAAAAGTTAACAAGACTAAAATTGCGAATTTAGAAGTTAAGGGACCAAGTATTTCTGATATTGCCAAAATTAAATGTGTGTATTAGTCGTGTTACAAAAGATATTTTAGGTAATTTAGACCTTCTTTGAATAAACGTTGGTTCAGAAATGAGGTTTTACTAAAATCGAATTAAATCGAAATAACTAATAATTTTTTTTTTTTGAAATAATTTTTTTCATTAATCACACTTTTAAGAAACGTCAAACCGGTATGCTATTTTCAAAAATGTATATCAAACGAATTGTTCTCCCCGGAAGCATATAATTTGGTATAACGTAACCTTAAAGGTTTGTTTATAACCTCAAAAAGTTTCATTTCTTTATTCTCAACAGTTTTGGAGAAAATAATTTTTTTCTGTAATCAAACTTTTAAGAAACGTCAAATCGATATGCGAGTTTTCAAAACTCATATTAAACGAAAGGTTCACACTAAAAACTTAAAATTTGATATAACACAACCTTAAAGGTTTCTTTATAACCTCAAAAAGTTTCATTTCTTAATCTCCAACCGTTTTAGAGAAAATAATTTTTTTCTTTAATCACACTTTTAAGAAACGTCAAATTGATATCCGATTTTTAAAAATGTATATAAAATGAATTATTCACTCTGGAAGCTTATAATTTGGTGTAACCTAACCTTAAAGGTTCCTTTATAACCTCAAAAAGTTTCATTTTTTAATCTCCTACCGTTTTGGTGAAAATAATTTTTTTCTTTAACCTCACTCTCAAGAAACGTCAAATCGATGTACCATTTTTAAAAATTTATATAAAATGAATTGCTCACTTTGGAAGCTTATAATTTGATATAACACAACCTTAAAGGTTCCTTTATAACCTCAAAAAGTTTCAATTCTTTATTCTTAACCATTTTAGAGAAACTAATTTTTTTCTTTAACCTCTCTTTTAAGAAACGTCAAATCGATATGCGATTTTTAAAAATTTATATAAACTGAATTATTCACTCTGGAAGCTTATAATTTGGTGTAACCTAACCTTAAAGGTTCCTTTATAACCTCAAAAAGTTTCATTTCTTAATCTCCTACCGTTTTGGTGAAAATAATTTTTTTCTTTAACCTCACTCTCAAGAAACGTCAAATCGATACACCATTTTTAAAAAATTATGTAAAATGAATTGTTCACTCTGGAAGCTTATAATTTGGTATAACATAACCTTATTCGTTCCTTTATAACCTTAAAAAGTTTCATTTCTTAATCTCTAACGGTTTTGGAGAAAATAATTTCTATCTTTAATCACACTTTTAAGAGACGTCAAATCGATATGCTATTTTAAAAAAATCATATAAAATGAATTGTTCACTCTGGAAGCTTATAATTTGGTATAACCTAACCTTAAAGGTTCCTTTATAACCTCAAAAAGTTTCATTTCTTAATCTCCAACCGTTTTGGAGAATATTATTTTTATCTTTAATCACACTTTTAAGAGACGCCAAATCGATATGCGATTTTTAAAAATTTATATAAAATGAATTGTTCACTCAGGAAGGTTATAATTTGGTATAACTTAGCCTTAAAGGTTCCTTTATAACCTCAAAAAGTTTCATTTCTTAATCTCCAACCGTTTTGGAGAAAATAATTTTGTTCTGTAATCACACTTTTAAGAAACGTCAAATAATACGGTTTTTTATGAAAAATTTTTTTTTTTATCCCTTTCAATCATCATCAAATTAAATCTGTGATTAGGCTGATAATGGGTAAAAAACAACTTATCGTTAAAAATAACAGAAAGTAGCATTTATTAAATTTATTATAAATTATCACCATTAGCTATAATTACTAATAAAAAAAAATTACAATTTTAACATTTCCTAATCGAATCTTAAGTATAAAACTTAAAAATATAACCAGGTACAAATTTGTCTCGCAAATATAAAATAATAAATTAACAATCTAAAACGTATCTATTTTAAGGACACTCAAGATACTGTTCTTTATCACTAACAACGTTATCTTGCGTAATCATTATTTCGTCATTATTTTTTTGACATTCTTCCACTTTTTTGGCACACCTATGGTTCGAACTTGTGGGCGGAAAAACGTACGTCGGATTTAATTGCGCAAAATCAATATAAACTCGACTTTTATTTACATCTAATTGTTGAACTAACTCTTCGAACGTCGGCCTTAATTTCGGATCCTCCGACCAACACCTTAACATCAACGAATACAGCTCATCCGTACAAATTTCCGGCCGTTCCAACCGTTTCCCCACGTGCAAATGATAAAGTAACATTCGATCGGGAATTGTGTCATATGGAAAAGCGCCTAACGTTCCAATTTCCCACAAAACCACACCGAACGACCAAACGTCACTTTTATTATCATAAATGTGCTCTTCGATAGCCTCCAAAGCCATCCATCGCAATGGAAGTTTGTTATGGCTCTTATTGATGTATGGCCCAGGTCGGGATAAACCGAAATCGGAGATCTTCAACACTTTATTCGCGTCGATTAAAATGTTTCTTGCCGCTAAATCACGATGGGTTATCGGAATTTTTTCTAAATGTGCCATCCCGCAAGCTATTTGAAGGGCGAAATGTTGTAATTCGGTGTGGTCCAAAAGCGATGATTGATCGACGTCAAATGTGAATTGATCTAGGGATGTTGGGGTTGGCGTTGTTGATAAATTTGTGTATTCGGCTTAAAATAAGAAAAAAATTGAATTAAAACACTACCCAAACATTTTTGAAGGTTTCCAGAAAGTTTTGACAGATGTCAAAATATCCCCAAAAGCTTTCTAATGACTTCCGTGATTGTCATAAAATGTCTAAACTCTTTTTGATTAGTTTTAGAGGTTCCCATGCAATACTCAAACATGTCAAAAAGACTCCAAATGCTTTGTAATGATTCCCTAAGTTACCCAGGAATTTCTAAGATTATCAAAAAATTTTAAGCGATAATTTACAATGGCAAAATAATCTCTAAAAGCTTCTTAATAACTTCCTACACTACCCAGAGATATCCTTAATTATCAAAAACTGTCAAAACGCATTCTAGACATTTTTGAAGATTTCCAGAAAGTTTTGAAAGATGTTAAAATATCTCCTAAAGCTTTCTAATGACTTCCACGATTATCAAATGATGCCTGACCTCTTTCTGATTACTTTTAGAGGTTCCCATATGACACTCAAACATTTCAAAAAGACTCCAAATGCTTTGTAATGATTTTCTAAGTTAACCAGGAATTTCTAAGATTATCAAAAACGGTTTAACCTTTTTCTTGGCAGTTTTGAGGATTTCTAAGCGATACTTTACACTGGCAAAACAATCTCCAAAAGCTACTTAATAATGTTCTACACTACCCAGAGATTTCCATAATTATCAAAAACTGTCAAAACGCATTCTAGACATTTTTGAAGATTTCCCGAAAGTTTAGAAAGATGTTCAAACATCTCCAAAAGCTTTCTAATGACTTCCACGATTATCAAAAGATGTCTAAACTCTTTCTGATTACTTTTAGAGGTTTCCATATGACACTCAAACATTTCAAAAACACTCCAAATGCTTTGTAATGATTTTCTAAGTTAACCAGGAATTTCTAAGATTATCAAAAAAGGTTTAACCTTTTTCTTGACAGTTTTGAGGATTTCTAAGCGATACTTTACAATGACAATATAATCTCCAAAAGCTTCTTAATAACTTCTTACACTACCCAGAGATTTCCATAATTATCAAAAACTGTGAAAACGCATTCTAGACATTTTTGAAAATTTCCAGAAAGTTCAAACTGTTTCTTGGCACTTTTGAGGATTTCCAAGTGACACTTTACAATAGAAAGAAATCTCCAAAAGCTTCTTAATGATTTCCAAGGATTTCCAAGCACTATCCAAGGATTTCCATAATTAACAAAACCTGTCAAAACGCATTCTAGACATTTTTGAAGATTTCCAGAAGATTTTGAAACATGTCAAAATATCTCCAAAAGCTTTCTAATGACTTCTATGATTATCAAAAAGTGTTTAAACTCTTTCTAATTACTTTTAGAGGTTCCCAAATGGCACTCAAACATGTCAAAAAGACTTCAAATGCTTTGTAATGATTTCCTAAGTTAACCAAGCATTTCTAAGAATTTCTATGATTATCAAAAAATGTCTAAACTCTTTCTGGGCACCTGTGAAGATTTTCTGGCAACATTCTACAATGGTAAAAATCTCCAAAAGCTTCTTAATGATTTCCTACACAACCCTGATTTCCTACTAACTGCCAAAACGCATTCTAGACATTTTTGAAGATTTTGAAACATACAAAATATTTCCAAAAGCTGTAATGACTTCCATGATTATCAACAAATGTTTAAATTCTTTCTGATTACTTTTACAGATTCTCAAATGACACTCAAACATGTCAAAAAGTCTCCAAATGCTTTGTAATGATTTCCTAAGTTAACCAGGGATTTTTAAGAATTTCTAAGATTATCAAAAAGTGTTCCAACTCTTTCTGGACACTTTAGAAAATTTCCAGGCAACACTCTACATTGGCAAAAAAATTTCTAAAAAGCTTCTTAATCATTTCCTACATTACCCTGATTTCCTACTAACTGCCAAAACGCATTTTAGACATTTTTGAAGATTTTGAAACATGTCAAAATATCTTCAAAAGTTTTGTAATGACTTCCATGGTTATCAAAAAATGTTCGAATTGTTGCTGATTAGTTTTATAGGTTCCCAAATGATACTCAAACATGTGAAAAGGACTCCAAATGCTTTGTAATGATTTCCTAAGTTAACCAGGGATTTCTAAGAATTTTTAAGATTATCAAAAAATGTCTAAATTCTTTCTGGGCACCTTTGAAGATTTTCAGGCAACACTGGAAATGATGGCAAAAAACCTGCAAAAGCTTTTTAATCATTTCCTACACTACCCTGATTTCCTACTAACTGTCAAAACGCATTCTAGATATTCTTAAAGATTTGCAGAAAATTTTGAGAGATGTCAAAATATCTCCAAAAGCTTTGTAATGACTTCCGTGATTATCATAAAATGTTTAAACTCTCTTTGATTCTCAACCATTTTTGAAGATTTCACAGAAGGTTTTGAGAGATGTCAAAATATCTCCAAAAGCTTTTTAATGACTTCCATGGTTATCAAAAGATATCTAAATGTATTCTAGATATCTTTAATGTTTTCTAGAAGATTTTCAAAAATGTCAAAATATCAGCCAAAGCTATCTAATAACTTCCATGATTATCATAAAATGTCCAAATTATTTCTAATTACTTTTAGAGGTTTCCAAATGACATTCAAACATATCAAAAAGACTTCAAATGCTTTACAATGATTTACTAAGTTAACCAGGAATTGCTAAGGATATCTATGATTATCAAAAACTGTCTAAATATATTTTAAATATCTTTTATGTTTTCCAGAAGATTTTTAACAATGGCAAAATATCTCCAAAAGCTCCCTAATGACTTCCATGGTTATCAAAAAATGTCCAAACTCTTTCAAATTACTTATAGAGTTTCCTAAATCACATTCAATCGTCTCGAAAAGACTCCAAATGCTTTACAATGATTTACTAAGTCAACCAGGACTTTCTAAAGATATATATATGATTATTAAAAACTGTTTAAACTCTTTCTGATTACTTTTAGAGTTTCTCTAATGACATTCAACTATCTTGAAAAGAGACCAAATGCTTTACAATGATTTACTAAGTTAACCAGGAATTTCTAAAGATTTCTATGATTATCAAAAACTGTCTAAATGTATTCTAAATATCTTTAAGGTTTGCCAAAAGATTTTTAAAAATGTTAAAATATCTCCAAAAGCTATCTAATGACTTCCATGACTATCAAAAAATGTTCAAATTGTTTCTAATTATTTATAGAGTTTCTAAAATGACATTCAAACGTCTCGAAAAGACTCCAAATGTTTTACAATGATTTACTAGGTTAACCAGGAATTGCTAAGCATTTCTATGATTATCAAAAACTGTCTAAATGTATTCTAGATATCTTTAATGGTTTCCAGAAGATTTTTAAAAATGTCAAAATATCTCCAAAAGCTATCTAATGACTTCCATGATTAACAAAGAATGTCCAAACTGTTTCTAATTACTTTTAGAGGTTCCCAAATGTCATTCAAAGATTTCGAAAAGACTCCAAATGCTGTGTAATGATTTACTAAGTTAACCAGGAATTTCTAGGAATTTCAAAGATTATCAAAAAATGTCTAAACTCTTTCTGATTACTTTTAGAGTTTCCCAGATGACATTCAAACATGTCAAGAAGACTCCAAATGTTTTGTAATGATTTCCTAAGCTAACCAGGAATTTCTAAGATTATCAAAAACTGCCAAAACGCATTCTAGGCATTATTGACGATTTCCAGAAGATTTTGAAAGATGTCAAAATATCTCCAAGATGTTTCTCATGAAATCCATCACAATCAAACAATGTCTAAACACTTTCTGATTACTTTTAAAGGTTCCCAGATGACACTCAAACATGTCAAAAGGGCTCCAAATGCTTCGTAATGATTTCCTAAATTAACCAAGACCTTAGTAAACCTTAAATTTAATTAACTACTACTTACTACTTGTTGAAGGCTTCTTCGTTTTCTCAAATCTCGGCGAATTTGGGTTAATATACATCCCAGATCCATTGTAGACGTCATCATTATAATTAATTAGCTTCTTCTTCCACTTATCTCTCAAATTCATTAAGTAATGCTTCAAATCTCCGTAAGGAACGTATTCCATAATCATCATAAACGGTTCGTGAAGAGTGCAACATTTCAGCATCGTCACAATGTTGGGATGTTGCCCGATTTTCTTCATTATATCGATTTCCGCTCGGAAATCTTCGACCTCTTCAATCGAAGATTTTTCTCGCAACGTTTTAACAGCGACCGATTCTTCTTTGCCGTTAACGAGCGCGTTTCCAAGATAAACTTCGCCGAAGGCTCCTTTTCCAATTTCGTATAAAAGTTTTAAATGGTTTCTTGGAAATTCGAATTCATCGACCTCTCCTTCCTTAAATTAAAATTGTTATAAAAATTAAATTTATTGATAATTAACTTACGAGAATTTCGCTTTCGATGTACAACAAATTGTTTGTTTCGATCTTTTTCGTGGTTTCTGTAGCATAGCTGTAAATGTTGTGGTTTCTTCGCCTTCGGTTTAAAAACCTCGAGATTAATAAAGCTTTGATTGTTCCTCGGCATTTATCGATGTACCAAAGTGCTATGATGACCAATAAGATAATTACCAAGATAAACGTGTAGGAGATGTTGAGCCAAGGAGAAACATCCTAAAATTTATCTTTAAAATCACGAATTTAAAAACTTATTTGATTTAACCTGTTTTATGACTTCTAATCGCCTCAAATATCGTTCAGGGCAACCAAATTTGTTTGTAAAGGTAATTAATAAACATATATGGGGGTGATTTTCGGTAAAAATCAAAGCGGAATTATTCGAATCTAATAATTTATATTTAGGTTCCATTAAAGTGTATTGAGATGCAGAAAAATCGCCGCAATTCTCAATTACGTAGGAAATAAACGTGACGTTCACTAAAACCGCTTCATCTTGGGGATTCCCAAAAATCCATTCAATTAAAAATTCGTCTTTACGTTGATACTCCACGGTAATGTTCATCGGTAGCGGGAAATGGTTGCAATCGCATTTTCCATCGACACAATCTAGAAATGAATTATTTAATGATACACATAATTGCAAAAACATGTAATAAATCATACAAGGTATGGAGTAATTAAAAGATAGGCTTTCGAAGCTGTCATTAACTGTTATGAGATAAGTACAACCGAAATTGAGTTCGTCCCTGCTTCCGAGGAAATAATCGGGACCGTAGATGGTTTCTTCGATGTCAACACCACAATGAATGCTTGTGTTGGTACTTGGGATGTGTGTTAATGTAACTATTAAGAATTCGTGCAAAGAATCTGAAAAAGACGATTAAATTAATGATGTATTAATGAGAATTTGATTAAATAGTACCGTCCCAGTTAAAATGGAATTGCAAATGATCTAAGAATTCGTCATATTCAATTACAACGCTGAGATTATTTCGTTCAAAGAAAAGTAACTGTTTATCATTGTGGTAGATGTCGTCCGAATCCTGTAACAATAATTTTTTGCATTAAAACGAAATTGAAAATTGGATAATTTCTAAAGTATTCACTTTGAAATGTTTAAATTTTGAATAATTTAACCTTAAAGGTAAAAATGTAAGGTGAAAATTAAAAGGTAAAAATGTGTAGAGTATTATATGTTTAATAAAACAGTCTAACTGATTTTTTTATTTAAACAAAAATTTTTAAGGTATGACACAAACTTGTAATTTTTCTAATGGAAACCATAGTTGGCCATGACTTTATAAAAAAGGCGTTTTCTCAACAATTCTAATTATATACCACTTGACATAGATATCTTTATTAATAAATAAATTGTAGCAATTATTTATTTAATTTGCAAACTGTTCAGGTAGTATGCTCTGGAAACAATTAATAGATACGTTTGGTCATAACAGCTTAATTTGATCAATGTTAATAGTAAAATCCATTTTACCGGTAGATGTGAATAATATTTGATTAAATTTTGATTTTTATAAAATCACTAATTGTACTTTTATACTGGTTTATTATAAGTAAATCCGCTTTACATGTTTCGACTAATTAGTCATCTTCAGAAGCGCTACAAATTGACAACAAGAATGATAATAAAAGTTGTTACAAATATGAAATGAAATAAACTTACTTTGTTAAAATGTTAAAAATGTAAATGTAAAGTTTAAGAATTAAAATTAAAAACGACGTTACATGAAAAGTTACAAAAATAAAATGGTTGAGAAATTGTAAGAGGTAACCACTTTTTATGAGTTCGCGAAAACCAGAAATAAAATGTATAAATGCGCATGTGTTGAAAATAAAATAAAATTACATAGAGGGTGTTCAGATGAAACAAATCCCTTCTGCGAGTATAATTGTCTGCGAGGCAACAACTCTAAAATTTGTTTTTTAAAAATGTATAATGTATATAATTTGTATTTTGTAGTTTAATATTTCCAGGCGTTGAATAGTAAGGTAAGGGAAGGGGATATATAATTTGGATTTTTAAATTAATAGAAAAATATAGGATAGGGAATACAAGGATAGGGTGTAGACAGGAGTTGGGTGTTGCCGCAGGGACCCCAAAATCTGCGAACAGTGTGTGCGGCTAAGTACACTGATCCTCGGTATTTTGGGGAAATGGGTTATTGAGGCATTTGTATAAGGGTGGTTTTAAGGGGAGGACCTGGTCATTAAGGCACTCAAGTCTTGTATTAGTTTTTATGAANGGTAAACACCTATCTCTGCACAACCACACTTTTGATATTAAAGAAAATGTAACACTGATACATAAACAAAATAAAGGCCACAAACTTGAGCTTTTAGAGAGCTATGAAATAGACAAATTCATAAAAACTAATACAAGACTTGAGTGCCTTAATGACCAGGTCCTCCCCTTAAAGCCACCCTTATACAAATGCCTCAATAACCCATTTCCCCAAAATACCGAGGATCAGTGTACTTAGCCGCACACACTGTTCGCAGATTTTGGGGTCCCTGCGGCAACACCCAACTCCTGTCTACACCCTATCCTTGTATTCCCTATCCTATATTTTTCTATTAATTTAAAAATCCAAATTTTATTATCCCCTTCCCTTACCTTACTATTCAACGCCTGGAAATATTAACTATAAAATACAAATTATATACATTACATACATTTTTAAAAAACAAATTTTAGAGTTGTTGCCTCGCAGACAATTATACTCGCAGAAGGGATTTGTTTTATCTGAACATCCTCTATGTAATTTTATTTTATTTTCAACACATGCGCATTTATACATTTTATTTCTGGTTTTCGCGAACTCATAAAAAGTGGTTACCTCTTACAATTTCTCACCCATTTTATTTTTGTAACTTTTCATGTAACGTCGTTTTTAATTTTAATTCTTAAACTTTACATTTACATTTTTAACATGTTAGTTCTATAGTTTTTTAAATTAATATTTACAATATATGTTTTGAATATCACCGTTTTTGATGTGCTGACCTTATTTACGACTTATACTTTCATGCGAAGTTTTTTGAACGCCTTTTCTTATATTACGACAAGTAAGTTTATTTCATTTCATATTTGTAACAACTTTTATTATCATTCTTGTTGTCAATTTGTAGCACTTCTAAAGATGACTAATTAGTCGAAACATGTAAAGCGGATTTACTTATAATAAACCAGTATAAAAGTACAATTAGTGATTTTATAAAAATCAAAATTTAATCAAATATTATAACAGCTTAAGACAAATGTAAGTTTTCATGATTTCGTAGCGTTAGCTTATTATGTGATGGTGCCCCATCGTGTTGAAACCATTTAAGCAAATGACATGTCTGTAGGAACAATTCATCGAACATATTATCGAACTCGTTCTGTAGAAAGTGAAGATAACGATCTCCGTTTAACATATCATAAAGAATGTACGGACCAAGAAGAAATCCAAACTTAACTTGAGGTCTTTTCTCTTGAACATGGTGCGGATTTTCCTGCATCCATAAATATTGATTATGTCTATTAAACATGCCGCAGTTTGTAAATCGTGTTTCATCTGTCCACAAAACTTTAATCTAAACTATGATCAGCTTCACACATGTTAATAAACCACGTACAATATTCTACACGCTTATTGTAGTTATAGTGTTTGTGAAACTGCCATTTTATATGAATGAAATCTATGCTTTTTTAGTTCTCTTACGACAGTACGTTGAAATCGATGCATCTTGATGGATTCGTGCTAATACATTATTTCTGTCTTGCATCCTTAGTTGGTTTACAGAAAGAACCTTACTCGCCTAAATTATCAGCATCTTAAAAGTGAGAAGGCTAGAGAAGGCTAGCGACGATCAAAATATTCTTCAAAATACTGTTCTGCAACTTGTATTGCAGCTTGTATTGCATTTTTATAGCATAAAATGTAACACTCAATGATGTCACGCTTTTCTTGATTAGAAAAATTCATATTGATTATAATTTACAAAACCACAATCAACTAAACGAACCATACGTTTGCCTTAAGCTGTCATAACCAAACGAATCTATCAATTGTTTCCATAGCATACTACCTGAACAGTTTGCCCATTAAAAGAATAAATGGCTATAATTTATCTATTAATAAAAATATCTATGTAAAGTGGTATTCATTAGAATCGTTGAGAAAAGGCCTTTTTTATAAAGTCATGGCCAACTATGGTTTCCATTAGAAAAATTACAAGTTTGTGTCATAACTCAAAAATTTGCGATTTTTAAAAGTGTATATAAATTGAATTGCTCACACTGGAAGGTTATAATTTGGGATAACCTAACCTTAACGGTTCCTTTATAACATCAAAAAGTTTCATTTCTTTATTCGTAACCGTTTAGGAGAAAATAATTCTTTCTTTAACCCCACTTTCAAGAAACTGCAAATCGATATGTGATTTTTTAAAATGTATATAAAATGAATTATTCACCCTGGAAGCTTATAATTTGATATAACCTAACCTTAAAGGTTCCTTTATAACCTCAAAAAGTTTCATTTCTTTATTCGTAATTGTTTCAGAGAAAATATTTTTTTTCTTTAACCCCACTTTCGTGATACGTCAAATCGATAGTCGATTTTTAAAAATTTATATAAATTGAATTGTTCATCCTGGAAGCTTATAATTTGCCATAACCTAACCTTAACGGTTCGTTTATAACCTCAAAAAGTTTCATTTCTTTATTCTTAACAGTTATGGAAAAAATAATTTTTTTCTTTAACCCCACTTTTAAGAAACGTCAAATCGATATCGGATTTTCAAAAATGTATATCAAACGAATTGTTCACCCTGGAAGCTTATAATTTGGTATAACCTAACCTTAAAGGTTCCTTTATAACCTCAAAAAGTTTCATTTCTTTATTCTCAACAGTTTTGGAGAAAATAATGTTTTCTTTAACCCCACTTTTAAGAAACGTCAAACCGATATGCGATTTTCAAAAATGTATATCAAACGAATTGTTCACCCTGGAAGCTTATAATTTGGTATAACCTAACCTTAAAGGTTCCTTTATAACCTCAAAAAGTTTCATTTCTTTATTCTTAACAGTTTTGGAGAAAATAATTTTTTTCTTTAACCACACTTTTAAGAAACGTCAAATCGATATGCGATTTTTAAAAATTTATATAAAATGAATTGGTCACACTGGAGGCTGATAATTTGGTATAACCTAACCTTAAAGGTTCCTTTATAACCTCAAAAAGTTTCATTTCTTTATTCTTAACAGTTTTGGAGAAAATAATATTTTTCTTTATTCACACTTTTAAGAAACGTCAAATCGATATGCGATTTTTAAAAATTTATATAAAATGAATTGGTCACACTGGAGGCTGATAATTTGGTATAACCTAACCTTAAAGGTTCCTTTATAACCTCAAAAAGTTTCATTTCTTTATTCTTAACAGTTTTGGAGAAAATAATATTTTTCTTTATTCACACTTTTAAGAAACGTCAAATCGATATGCGATTTTTAAAAATTTATATAAAATGAATTGGTCACACTGGAGGCTGATAATTTGGTATAACCTAACCTTAAAGGTTCCTTTATAACCTCAAAAAGTTTCATTTCTTTATTCTTAACAGTTTTGGAAAAAATAATTTTTTTCTTTAACCCCACTTTTAAGAAACCTCAAATCGATATGCGATTTTCAAAAATGTATATCAAACGAATTGTTCACCCCGGAAGCTTATAATTTGGTATAACCTAACCTTAAACGTTCCTTTATAACTTCAAATAGTTTCATATCTTAATTTCTAACCGTTTTGATGAAATTAATTTTTAAATATATAGATTTTTTAAATTTACATAAAGTGGATTTAGAAATTACGCTTCCGATTAACACCTGTCATATTATCACGTATTCTTCAAGCATCTGTCGTTTGAACAACAAGGTGTCGATTATTCCCCCGTTTTACTCAGAGTTTCATAATATTTGCTTAAACATCGATAATATTTGTCATATTATCTGAAGGTGAGCTAAAAAGTTGATAACAAAATTTATAGTTTAAGTTAGGTTAGTTGTATTTTTTATATATAATATTTCGGTAGATTAATGACACAATATTAGAACGTGAAAATTATCAGAAAAGTGTGTACCCACATTAAGATAAGTAGTAAAAAAAATTAATGGATAATTCGATAACCACACCAAAAACACTTCGATGACTTAGTCCACATCAGGGTATGGCTAAAGTCTAAAATTTCAACAAAATACCTGTTAGGTTCTAAATTTAAATTCGCGTTTACATGTGGAGAAGACAAATAAAGTCGAATCTAAATATGTTATGATCTTCTTTCGGTGAATAATTATTGTATGTACAATACACAATGTCAAGTTATTAAAAAACGAAAACAGTCATAAATTTCCTTTCAATGTGTGTTTAAAACATAATAAAAGTTTAGTAACTAAACAAGGTTAACATAACATAGTTGGTCCACTATTTTGTCAGGAAAAATCAAAATATCTCCTCGTGTGCTTCACTTTCAACCATTAATTTAACAAGTGTGTGTTAAATATAGAGGTTTAAATTCAAAACATAATCCGAAATTAAATTATTCCGTAAAATCTCATAAAAAAAACCATAAATTATTATGTATAAATGTTATCGTAACGAACATTAATAAGAATTATTGTGTAAACAATGCATTCTTTTTTGTAAACTTTTTAAGTTTTTGGGGTGATATATAAAAAGAACTTACCTCAATACACAACGAAATCGAACACAACATCACGATGTATATAAAAAATGGCCTAAAAATTTCACTCATTTTTTAACTTCATTAACTAATTATATCTGGAAAGAAAAATCGTAAAAAAATGTTATATTTTTAACCCAAACAGTTTCTTCGACCCTTTTCTTTGAGTGGTGATGAAATTTTTAAGCAAAATAAACTTGAATGACATCTTTATAGACGGAAGTACTGAACAAATACTTGGAAATGTGAGATTTTTTTAAGAAAATAGGATAAAAGCAACATTAATTCATGATTCATGTGTTTTGTTCTAGGGATATTATTAGATTATGATTTTAAATTGATTTTTTAAAATGTTGGAGAGAAAATTAAGTGAAAATTAGGTTCTAATTTTATTATTTATAAATTATATGAAACTGAAAATTTTTGATCTGAGATATCAAAAAACCGCTTTCATCATTAAATTAATTAGAGAATTCTAAATGACTACTACTAATATTTGGTCGTTTTCAATTTTAAATATAACCTACAAAAATTATTTTTAACTCAACACTAAAACTGATTCGCAAACTTTTTTAGGTTAATTTTAAAAATTTATTTCTCAAAAACGAATCAAGATACCAAAAAACCGTTTTCACCATTAAATTTGTTAGGATATTCTAAATAACTACTATTAATTTGGTCTTTTCAATTTTAAACATAACCTACAAAAATAATTTTTAACTCAACACTAAATATGACATCAATGTGAGGTTAACTTTAAAAACTCAATTCTCAAAAACGAATAGATATATGAAAAAACCGTTTTCACCATTAAATTTGTTAGGGAAGTCTAAATAACTACTATTAATTTGCTCTTTTCAATTTTAAGCATAATCTATAAAAATTATTTTTAACTCAACACTAAAACTGATTCGCAAATTTTTTAGGTTAACTTTAAAAATTTATTTCTCAAAAACGAATGAAGGTATCAAAAAATTATTTTCATCATTAAATTCATTAGAGAATTCTAAATAAATACTATTAATTTGGTTTTTTCACTTTTAAACATAACCTACAAAAATAATTTTTAACTTAACACTAAATATGACATCAATGTGAATGGTAATTTTTGTAGGTTGACTTTAAAAATTCATTTCTCAAAAACGAATAGAGATATCAAAAAACCGTTTTCACTATTCAATTCGCCAGAGAATTCTAAATAAATACTATTAATTTGGTCTTTTCAATTTTAAACATAACCTACAAACATAATTTTTAACTCAACACTAAATATGACATCAAGGTGATTGCTAATTTTTTAGGTTAACTTTAAAAATACATTTCTCAAAAACGAATAGAGATATCAAAAAACCGTTTTCACCATTAAATTTGTTAGAGAATTCTAAATAACTACTATTAATTTGGCCTTTTCAATTTTAAACATAACCTACAAAAATAATTTTTAACTCAACACTAATGATATCAATGTGATTGGTAATTTTTTAGGTTAACTTTAAAAACTCATTTCTCAAAAACGAATAGAGATATCAAAAAACCATTTTCACCATTAAATTTGTTAGGAGAATTCTAAATAACTAATAATAATTTGGTCTTTTCAATTTTAAACATAACCTACAAAAATAATTTTTAACTCAACACTAAATATGACATCAATGTGATTGGTAGTTTTTTTAGGTTAACTTTAAAAACTCATTTCTCAAAAACGAATAGAGATATCAAAAAACCGTTTTCACCATTAAATTTGTTAGGAAATTCTAAATAACTAATAATAATTTGGTCTTTTCAATTTTAAACATAACCTACAAAAATCATTTTTAACTCAACACCAAATATGACATCAATGTGATTGGCAATTTTTGTAGGTTAACTTTAAAAACTCATTTCTCAAAAAGGAATAGAGATATCAAAAAACCGTTTTCACCATTAAATTTGTTAGGAAATTCTAAATAACTGCTATTAATTTGGTCTTTTCAATTTTAACCATAACCTATAAAAATAATTTTTAACTCAACACTAAATATGACATCAATATGATTGGTAATTTTTGTAGGTTAACTTTAAAAATTCATTTCTCAAAAACGAATGGAGATATCAAAAAACCGTTTTCACCATTAAATTTGTTAGAGAATTCTAAATAACTACTATTAATTTGGTCTTTTCAATTTTAAATATAACCTACAAAAATAATTTTTAACTCAACACTAAATATGACATCAATGTGATTGGTAATTTTTGTAGGTTAACTTTAAAAACTCATTTCTCAAAAACGAATAGAGATATCAAAAAACCGTTTTCACCATGCAATTTGTTAGAGAATTCCAAATAACCACTATTAATTTGGTCTTTTCAATTTTAAACATAACCTACAAAAATAATTTTTAACTCAACACTAAATATGACATCAATGTGATTGGTAACTTTTGTAGGTTAACTTTAAAAACTCAGTTCTCAAAAACGAATAGAGATATCAAAAAACCGTGTTCACCATTAAATTCGCCAAAGAATTCTAAATAAATACTATGAATTTGGTCTTTTCAATTTTAAACATAACCTACAAAAATTATTTTTAACTCAACACTAACACTGTTTCGCAAATTTTTTAGGTTAACTTTAAAAATTTATTTCTCAAAAACGAATCGAGATATCAAAAAAATATTTTCACCATTAAATTCGCCAGAGAATTCTAAATAAATACTATTAATTTGGTCTTTTCAATTTTAAACATAACCTACAAAAATAATTTTTAACTCAACACTAAATATGACATCAATGTGATTGGTAACTTTTGTAGGTTAACTTTAAAAACTCATTTCTCAATAACGAATAGAGATATCAAAAAACCGTGTTCACCATTAAATTTGTTAGGGAATTCTAAATAACTACTATTAATTTGGTCTTTTCAATTTTAAATATAACCTACAAAAATTATGTTTAACTCAACACCAAAACTGATTCGCAAATTTTTTAGGTTAACTTTAAAAATTTATTTCTCAAAAACGAATCGAGGTATCAAAAAATTATTTTCATCATTAAATTCATTAGAGAATTCTAAATAAATACTATTAATTTGGTCTTTTCAATTTTAAACATAACCTACAAAAATAATTTTTAACTCAACACCAAATATGACATCAATGTGATTGGTAACTTTTTGTGATTGGTAATTTTTGTAGGTTAACTTTAAAAACTCATTTCTCAAAAACGAATAGAAATATTAAAAAACCGTTTTCACCATTAAATTTGTTAGAGAATTCTAAATAACTACTATTAATTTGGTCTTTTCAATTTTAAATATAACCTATACAAATTATTTTTAACTCAACACCAAAACTGATTCGCAAATTTTTTGGGTTAACTTTAAAAATTTATTTCTCAAAAACGAATGGAGGTATCGAAAAATTATTTTCATCATTAAATTCATTAGAGAATTCTAAATAGATACTATTAATTTGGTTTTTTCAATTTTAAACATAACCTACAAAAATTATTTTTAACTCAACACTAAAAATGACATCAATGTGATTGGTAATTTTTTTAGGTTAACTTTAAAAATACATTTCTCAAAAACGAATAGAGCTATCAAAGAACTGTTTTTACCATTAAATTTGTTAGAGAATTTTAAATAACTACTATTAATTTGGTCTTTTCAATTTTAAATATAACCTATACAAATTATTTTTAACTCAACACTAAAACTGATTCGCAAATTTTTTAGGTTAACTTTAAAAATTTATTTCTCAAAAACGAATCGAGGTATCAAAAAATTATTTGCATCATAAGAATTCATTAGAGAATTCTAAATAACCACTATTAATTTGGCCTTTTCAATTTTTAACATAACATAAAAAAATTATTTTTAACTCGCACTTAAACTGATTCGCAAATTTGAAGAGTTGAGTTTAAAAAATTATATCAATTGGTGTTTATGAAAATTAAGAAATTATTTATATTTAATTTATAAATCGTTCATTATCTCATAATGATATCTCAATTAGTTCTTGAGATACGATTTTTTACAATTTTCCATGTTATATATGTACGTATTTTATTAAATCATTTATCATGGTGAAATTCCGTTTTAAAACTCTCATTTCAATTATGTGATAAAATATTTAATCACAATCAAATACATTTAGCTATTAATTAATCGATATCTATAATTCAAGAGTTCGTATTTTGATATAAATTTAATTTCTCAAACTTCCCTTAACATTGTTTACTCGGGATCGTTATAGAGGTTTACTCATCTAATTGATTTGGTAAACATAGCACCATAATGACGTAGCAACTTGAAATGTTTGCCATAAACTTTTTTTTTAATCAAAGTATTTGTTTATTCATCTACCGGCTTTATTCTTTTCTTATATTATGAATTTGCGATTTAACGAAATAACATAAAAATAAATCAACAATCTTATCTTCAAGTAGCATTTAAAAAAATTAAAATCTACTTTAGATTATATTTAGAGATACAACAATTTATTTAACTTATTAAATATTAATTATTATAAAAATACCTTGTTTTCATTTAATTTTATCACATTCCTCACAATTTCTTTTTTTTGCAATTTTTTTATTAATTAATTCAGTAGAAATCCCACTCAAAGAAAAAGGTTGAACATTTTTTGTTAAAACTTACAAAAAAATAACATTATTTTAAGAAAATCCTTATCTTGACCACGTTTAATTCTTAATTAATACAATCCACCACAATCATTTTAACTTGTACGATTAAAAAGCGATTCTTTCAAAAAAAATTGTTTTTTGTTGTACCTTAAGATAAGAAAAATGATCTTATCTATGTCCGCGATGCGCGAATGTCGACGTAGAACTGACCGATTATCCGTTAAAGTTCGAGATTAATATCATCGTTTCAGTATGATAACGTTTGAAGAGTATCGAGCTGTTCAAACAATTTCTTTTGAATTAAGATTACCTCTCTTATATTGAAAGTAAATATTGAGAACACTTAAATGAATCGTGTCAGTAAAATCTCGATATAACAAATCTCGTTAAAATGTATTGATATTGTTACGTATTTATATTGAACGTATTATTATTATTTATCTACGACTGCTTGGATAAGTCATCATTACCACACTCATTTGAGTTACGTAATGAAGTTCATTACCGCACTGGTTTCATTACGTAACGCATTTTAGCCCAATCAGAACAGGCTTAATTTATTGAAACGAGAAAGTACAAAAGAAAAAGTGTTACCTATTTATTTAAAGAGAAACAATACTATTTATTATAAACATCGATCGTTATGTTTTTACATTTCGAAACATTTATTCCAGATAAGTAAACATGTTTTTGAAATTGACACTAATTCAAAATTGTCAATAATCATTTCAAAATATTTTTATAAATGTCAAGATAGACCTTTTTAAAGAAATTGATTTTTAAGTAATTTTTAGCAGTCGTAGATAAAGTGTTGTATATCACGCGTGGGCTAGAGCATAAGTACAGCACTCGTGTGTTTACACGATGTTTCTAACCCACTTGTAATATAAATAACTATAACATAGCTTAAAAATGGTATGACTCAAGATATGGACGTACGACTTAGATTATTTCACCACATACATTTAAATTTAGGTTATGTTAGTAATGGAGGTTATATGTCAAACATTGTCAAAGATATTATTTAATGATTTTCCTTTCAAAGAAAACATTTTCGGCTTGTGACACTAACAGATTCATGACAACGCTCACAAGACGTTTCGATTTGAGGTTATAATTATAGAGTTACATCCCTTAGAAGAACAGACGTACTTTTTCGACGTGGCCATTTGAATTGTACAGCAGACATATTAAACTAATGCTATCTCTTTCTAACACACATTACTCTCTAGCGGTTTGTGAACTACGTATGGCATTTGTAAGAGCGGAAAATGATGATTTACTGCCAGCTCTCGTGGCGTCTACTATA